GCTACCGTTGACGTGGCTCAGTGCAAAAATACAGGTCCTATGAGAACACATACGTTGAGTCAGACCACGCATTACTTATGATGCACCTCACCCTCCGACTCACTGGCCGGCGATAAAACCAGCAAAGTCGGTTAGCTCATCGTCTGTCTATTCCAGCAGTACGTGCGCACTGAGTCAGACAGTGGATGGGCTGAGTGCGCTTCAAAGCGATGATGTAGATGAGTAGAGGAATCAGATTAGTCGATCAATGCATTCAGCAGCGAATATTACTTGTGAGTCTGAGCCTCAAACCAGTCAGAGGCATTGGATATCTGATGAGTCAGTAGCCCTGATGAAGAAAGTGACGGGTCCTAACTTGCCAGTATTAAAACAGAGTTAGGTGGCATCTGTAAAATCAGCTTCCGAAGAGTCTCCAGAAGGATCGCGAGAACTGGTGGGCAACAATAACTAGTGAAGTGGAAGTAGCGGCTATATCAAGGAATAGTCAAACGCTGTCACAACTGATACGCAATACGCGAAGTCGGTTCACTGCAGTTAGCAAAACAATCTGCAATATGATGGGACAAGCTATTCACAATAGAGATCAGCGGCTCGATCGCTGGGCGGAATACTTCGGCGAACAGCTCAGTTGGCCTAACATGAGCCAGATTACTTCGCCTGCAACCGAAGATCCGTGGGTATCGATGTGCGATCCTCCGAGTGGTAGACGGTTCTTGCGTCATCCGGGTCAGTAACAGCGCCTAGCCATCGGGGCCTTGTGTGGTTCGCCACTACAAGTTCCAGGGCTAGGTTGCCGGTTACTCTCTCATCTCAGCATGAATACTACAACAAACAGGAACGATTCTCAAGCGCATTCTCAATCGACAATCACACTCACTAACATTCGCACCTTGAACCACAATATTGATTCTGTACATTAATTTCTTCAGTCCACTTTCCTCTTGCTCTATTTTTATCCGGAACACAAATTTCCGCTTCTACAGACACCATGCATCTTTAATTCCCCGGTTATTCCCTTTACAATTCGTTTATTCCCAAAGCTGGAGTTTGTGCTTTCATCCATCATTCAATTGTTTCTACTCCGTTCTCCCACTTAAATCTCACCAACCCCGAGTTCCAGACTCGGGCTGAAACTTCGGTTCTCTTCTTTCAATCACTACTTCTGCACTGTGTACCGTCCCCCAAATAGTAGTGAACCTTCATTCTTCGATGTTTTATTGGCAAACATAGATAGCATTGTTGAAACAGACGCCAACTCTCAGTTCACAATTTTGGGTGATTTAAATGTCCACAACAGGGATTGGCTGTTACATTCTTCAGGGACAGCGCCCCTTGGACGTGAAGCGGAATCATTTGCCCTATTGAACAGCCTCCACCAACTGGTGGATTTCCCGACTCTGCTGGCGACCACGCTCACACCTCGATCTTGTCCGCACTTCCAGCTCACAATTATTTTCCAATGTTGCTGCTCTTCCTCTCCCAGGCTTATCGGACCATTGTCTTATTTCACTCTCTACCCAAATTATTTGTTCTAATGTTCCTCCCAATTCTAGACGCACACCTTGGCGATATGGTTCCGCTGATTGGTGTAGCTTTCGCACCTTTCTAGCCTCCTACTGCTGGAATGAATGTTGGGTTTCCACAGATGTTTTATCTCCACTTCGAATTTCTCCAAAGTTCTTTTGCAAGGCATGCATCTATTTATTCCTCATTTAACTAAATCCCGGCAAGCCTCTTTCTCCAGAATGGTTCAACCACGCCTGTTGTCGCGCTGATCGTAAAACGAAATC